ATAAGACCAGATAAGGACGAAATTTATCGAAGGCAAACACCACCGCGAGCAGCTCCTTCTCCGTGGTGGTGTAGTTCTCCTGGGCATCATTCAGGGTCTTCGAGGTGTAGTAGAAAGGCCGGAAGTGCTGATCTCACCTCTGCCCCATTACAGCTCCAACAGCAAAATCACTAGCATCGTACATCAGCTCAAATGGCAGGGACCATTCAGGGACAACCATGATAGGAGCTTGAGTGAGCTTCTCCTTCAAGGTCGTGAATGCCACTGTGCATGCATCAGTGAACTGGAAGGGGGCATCCTTCTCAAGAAGCTTAGTCAGGGGCAGGGCGATCTTCGAAAAATCCTTGATGAACCGCCTGTAGAACCCTGCATGGCCTAAAAAATCCGGATCCCCTTAACAGATGTAGGAGGAGGCAGCTTGCTGATAGTCTCGATCTTTGCTCTATCCACCTCAATCCCTATCTTGGAGATCTTATGCCCCAGAACTATGCCTTCGTGAACCATGAGGTGGCACTTCTCCCAACTCAGTGCCAGGTTTGTTTCTTCACATCGTTTAAGGACGAGTTCCAGGTTATGGAGACAGTGAGAGAATGAGTCTCCGTAAACCGAGAAGTCGTCCATAAACACCTCCATAATATCGCCGACCAGACGGTCAAAGATGGCGAGCATGCATCGCTGAAAAGTGGCTGGGGCGTTACATAGCCCGAACGGGATCCTCCGGTAGGCAAATGTGCCGAAGGGACAGGTGAAAGTGGTCTTCACCTGGTCCTCCAGGTTCGGTGTCAGTCTTCTCTGTGGCTGTCTCACTGGCCGCATCTCATCCTCCATTAGTATCCGGTGAGAGCAGAAGGAGGGGCTGATCCCCCGGATATCTGTGATCTTCCACGCAAGAGCACGCCCGTGGCGCTTCAGCAGGGCCACCAATCTGTCCTTCTGCTCGGGTGTGAGGGTTGAGCTGATGATGACTGGAAGCTTATTCCCCTCCCGGAGAAATGCATACTCCAGGTGAGGAGGGAGGGGCTTTAGCTCCAGCTCTCGTGGTTCCTCCAAGGAGGTAGTGATGCGGGGTGAGGATGAGATTGGTTTGAACAGCCGGTCGCCCTCCAGGGATGTTCCACTCTCCAGCGCGGCCAATTGCTCCGCCAGCTGCGGCTCCTGCGATGCCTGCTCACCTAGCAAAATACAACGCTCAAGAGCATCGTCAGTTCCCGCACTCGTTATAGCGAGTGCGGTCTCAAAATCAGCAAGCACATCACAGTAATCTACGTCATCATGCAAATGGGAGTGTTTCCCATTCTCGGAAATAGAAAAAATAGCATGTTCATCACCAGCACGCAGGATCAATTTACCACTATGCACATCAATAAGCGCCTTGGCAGTGGCAAGAAACGGTCTACCCAAAATCAAAGGTACATCCACATCCTCATTTATATCCAAAATAAAAAAGTCGACAGGATATGTGAATGCACCTACATCAACAAGCAGATCCTCAATGATACCCCTAGGATGCACGATGGAACAATAAGCTAACTGAATGCTCATCCTAGTAGCTCTAGGTTCACCTAGATCTAGCTTTTTATACAATTTGTAGGGCATGACATTTATGCTAGTGCCTAGATCCGCCAAGGACTTTCCTACATGCATGCTGCCAATAACAAGAGGGATAGTGAAGCTCCCTGGGTCTTTATGCTTCTCGGGCAGCTTGTTCTGCAGGATAGCAGAACACTCCTCGCTCAACATCACTGTCGAAAGATCCCCAAGTTTCTTCTTGTTGGTGAGGAGGTCTTTCATGAACTTGGCGTACTTGGGCATCTTCGACAGTGCCTCCACGAACGACATGCTGATGTTGACCTACTTCAACATTGCTATGAACTTAGCAAACTCAGTCTCCAGCTTGTCTTTATGTAAGCGAGTGGGGAAGGGAAGATGGGGTACGTGCTCCTTAACCACTGGCTGTGGATTGGGAGCCGGTGCATATTTGTCCATCCCCACTTCTGCGTTGTCAGCTGAAAGTGTTGAAACAGATAGTGGCTCGTCTTACTGGGCTGGGCATGAGCAGCAGATGTGGTCTTGCCACTCCTGGTAGTGATGGCATCTAGCTGCTATTGCTGGTGAGGCTCACGAGGATTCGGAATAGTGGTGGCAGGCAGAGTCCCCGGTGCCCTGGTAGTGTTTTGGCGAGCCAGGCTACCCATATGGTTCTGTAAATCTTGCAAAATGGCGCCTTGGTTCCTCTGGCCTGCCTCCAGTGAGGCTATGTTCTGGTCCATCCTTGTGAAATTCGCCTGGCTGGTAGTCATGAATGCCGCTAGAATGTTTTTCAGCTCCGTCATATGATTATCTGGAGCCAGAGCTGCTGTTGGCTCGACATACTGACGCTGGGGCTGCTGAAATGGTTGCCCCTGCCTAGGCTGGTAGGGATGCTGCTGTGGGACTGGCCCCTGTCTAGGCTGGAAAGGCTGCCTCTGCTGAAAACCACCAGCTGGTGCTGGGAAACCAGGTGGTTTAATGGTGTTGGTACTCCAAGAGAAATTGGGATGCTGGTGCCACCCTCATTGTATGTATTGCTGTACGGGTCGAGGCGCCGAGCATTGGCGATGAAGTCCAACTGCTCATGGGGAGTAGAAGACTCCCTCATAGCCTGGCAGTCTTCCACCAGATGATTTGAGCTCTCACACCGCTGACATTGAGCTACTGGAGGTGTAGCCAAACCTCTGCCCGGAGTAAGACTGTTGGGCAGCTTCAATGTCTGCACTAACTCGGCTACCTGCTGCACTAACCACGGTCCCGGGAATTCCTGCCTCTAGTGCTCTGCCCCCAGGAATGATCTCTGGCAGCCAGGGTACTGATCATCTGGTTTAGTTCGGGCGGAGTCTGAGTAAGAATATCCCTTCCTGGGCATAGAGACTCAATCACCCTCTGGCTGTCCGGAGAGAGAGCACTGTAGAAGTTCCCCACTGTGAATGCGTCACTGAAGCCATGATGGGGACACTGCCAGAAATATCCCATGTACCGCTCCCATGCATCACGAAGTGACTCGTTTAGCTCTTGGCGGAAGTGGGTGATCTCCCGCTGGATCTCTGTGGTCTTAGATGCTGTGTAGTACCTGTGCACGAACTTGTCGGCCAGATCGTCCCAAGAAGTGATGGACAATGGGGGTTGGGTCTCCAACCACCTCTTAGCGTTCCCCGCCAGAGAATGGAGGAAGAGGTGAAGGCAGATTGCGTTATCAGGGACACCGTTTAGCTTGAACCCGTTTGTCAGCTGCAGAAAACGGGAAAGATGCACCCTCGCCTCCTCATCCTTCAAGCCATGGAACTGGATAGAGGATGTAATGAGTTGAATCCAGCATGGCTTGATCTCGAAGTTGTTCGCTGGAATAGGCGGGTAGAGTATGACCGGGCGGATGTCAGCAATCCGTGGAGTGTAGTAGTACTCCAAGGTGGGACCTGGCGCCTGTGGATGATGATGACCCCCATCTGCCTGGGGTATGGGGTTGTTCCCCAAGATCTGATTCACCGGAGGAACCTGGTGAGGATTCCCCTGGTGTGGATTGCGATCTCCTTCCATCTCGTACTCGTCCTCGGACTCGCTGCTCAAATGGCCGTCTATGCGCTCCTCCGTAGCCAGTATAGCTCACTGTTGTCTCCTGAGTTGGCGACAGGTGCGTTCAAGCTCCGGATTCAACGGCAGTAAACCTCCCGACTGGCTACGGGTCATGCACTACCTGCACACAGTCAAGCAAGCAAACCCGTGAAGGCACAAGTGTGACAAAGCAAACAATGCGAAAAGAAAAGCTAAATTAACAGAATTCACGTTTCTTCAACAACCTAGCCGTCCCCGGCAATGGCGCCAAAAACTTGACTCACTCCTACTGTCACTCTAGGAAATGGCCAAGTGTAACCACTTCCTAAAGCGTAGTATAGTGGGTTTGGGTTTTAATGTCAACCCGGGGTCCTAGATGTGATGACTAGTCAGTGAATTCTTATTATCTAGCGGTGAAACTTTAGTGCAGGTTCAAACAAGAAAACAAGCTAGCAATTAAACGGTTGTTTTCAAGTCGAGAGAGGTCACCCGGATATTGTTCCCCCTAGACTGCAGTTAAGCCGGATTGCAATTTACCAAGTTCAGTTTCTATGACAGTTATACTGTGGGAGGTTCTTAAACAGTCTGAAGTCTCGACTAAAGGTCTCCTGACCCTTTCAATCTGAGTCCCCAGCGGGCGACTAACCTCCACCGGAGTAAACAGATTGAGGCCCTAAAGAACCAAACCTACACTACCGAAGTAAATTCGGTATAGAATAGTAAATTGGCTCCTCGACTAAAGTCGCCAATTCACTACCTTCAATTAAGGGTGCTCTATTAACCTAGGCAGATATTCTCTTTCTAGGCTAAAGCAGAAATAACAAGAATTTGATCATGATTCAAGTCATTCAATCATTCAAGCCTCAATTGAATATAATCAATTCATAAAATCTGTACTTGGGTTCATACAATCAGACCTAACATACAAATCTAGGGTTATCCATACCCAGATGAATGGGAAAACTACTCCATGGAGAGAGAAACAAAAGCAGATTCAGATACGGAAACCATACTGTGAAGGATAGGTTTCTGCTCCTGGTCGTCAATCGACACTTCTCCAAGCTCAAGCCAGGCTCCAATGGTGATGAAGATCAAGCTAGGGCACTTGGGAACTCTGGTTCATCACTTTCTCTCTCTAGGAATTGCTCTGTCTCTCTAAAACTCGGAACCCCTTCTCCTTTGGCTCAAATATTCCTAAAAGGCCGACCTTGGGCAAAACACGGTCGAGGGCACGACTGTGCTTTGGTTTTGCCCGCCCGTGCCCTTGCCACTTGTTAAAAACACAGCCGCACCTTGGGGAAAACACGGTCGTGCCTAAAGTTGGACACGACCGTGTTTTGAGTCAGTCCCGCCCGTGTTTGGGCCAGCGCATGACAATCTTCGATCAAGCCTCGGCAGTAAAAACACGGTCCAGGAACACGGTCGTGCTTTGATTTAGGCGAGCCCGTGCTTTGGCTCCAGCTCGACCGAATGACTTCCAAATGCCCCGAAACTCATGCTTAGCCTTTCCTTTGATGTCTGGGACCTGAAATATGACAAAGTACTAGCACAACCCGGCGTAAAATAGGCCAAAAATACACAACTACGCCCCACAAATGGATAAGAACTAGGGGTGCAAATATGTGCAATTACATCATTATCACCCTTAAATATGGTGAAGATATCTGCGGCAAGGGCGCTCCTCCTCCCCTGAATCGATGTAGAGAAAAGGTGAAAAAGTTGTTTCTAAGAGAATATATTAATACTGTGTAACAAACAGAACTAAATATCTCAATTGGGTATTTGCAGCAATCAAAGAAAACCAGATAGGGACCAATCTTTGCTCCTGTCTACTATTTGCATCCACAGTATCTTGTGCTGAAACGTTAAGGGCTTCCGATGTTGCAGCTTTCTTTGGGCGCACGGTAGGCAACTTTGTGGGTCTGGCTGAACTTGATGTTGATGCAGCAGAGTCAACTTGATTCTCGCAAACTTGAGGTTTCCCTTCTTCTTGGTTAGGCAACTCGACATCATTCGCTTTACTAGTATCTGAAAGCAATGCCACTGCCACTGGAACCAAAACTTCCCCACGTGGGTTGGACTTGTTCGACTTAACTTTATTTGCAGCAGCTAATTCTTCAACCAGGTGATTCAGTGGTTTCAATAGATCGGATTTCTCTTCACTTTCTTCATTTCCTTGCTTGAGTTTTTTATCCAGCACGAGCCGTTTGGACGACCCAGAAGGAAGACCATTCTGCATGTACCATGGCCCATTTGTTAGCAGCTAGAAAGGAAGATGGCATTAAAACACAGAAAGAGCTACTTGGATGCATGTTAATTACATGTGTCCTGCTTTGTGCAATCTTGATAATAGTCTCGGGTGAGCTCAATATGTCACCATCTGCATCATTCTTGATAGGTCCTTCTTCATAGTCAGATGTGACAGATTCTCGCACAGCGGGAACCTTTTTCGTGCTATATTTATTCTTTTTCGCTGGTGGAACATATTGGTCCGGTACTTTAGGGGTGTTGGTCACAAACGAGGGCAGAGACCTTTCTTTCCTCCTAGCAGGTACATACACAGTAGCCACAGGTTCTGGAGTTGGCGGTGATGGAGGTTTTGGCACTAAAGGTGGTGGCACGACTTTTGGGAGAGAAGGCATGCTTTCAGGTGCTTGAGGATCAGCTTCAGCTTCGACCCTTTTTTCGTTTGTAAGGAAAAATCTTGGCCCTGAGATATTGGAGACAACGGTCTGACCTGCAAGGTTGACAATAGAAGGGTCATGACAACTGGGAATTCAGAAATTAAACAAGCTGAATGAATTTGAAACTCGTTTGTTCCTTTTTTGCTACATGTTATTGTGAAGAGGAAAAAAAATGGAGAGAGAGAGAAACCTGAGTTGATGAAGTGGTAGGGGACCTAAGTCAATGTTTCAAACTCGACAAGTGTCCAAATCTTCAAACTCTATCTTTCTGTAAATGCACCTTCTCCAAACTGCGTAGAGATTTAAGAACGAAAAGAATCATGAGCCATTCACAAACATGCCTTCCACTACTAACTCTGACATTCCTAAACTGGCCCAGCACTGTGGCCATACCCAATTCTCGTCACAGCAACGCATTACAAACAGCACGAAGAAAGCAAAAATGTTGGCCAACATATATGATTCATGAAGGCAGTGTTCATCATCGCCCGCGTCGTGATCCATTTCGTCACATTATGATATATATTTTCACTGTTGGGATATATTGTCAGAAACAAGTCACGAACTGGCCCTCTCTGCATATTTCGTGCAACAAAAGAAGCTAAGCTAGCTTCGCGATGAAACTCCACAAATCAGTGAGCAAGCAAGCCAAGCAGATGTTACTACTTATAAATTCGTGTACTTACCACACGAACAAAGTTGCGAGTCGCGGGGGCAGCAATAAGCTACATCCCTCTTAAAGTATTGCACGACTGAATGAACCCAATTCATATCATCCCCGTAAGTAACAAAGGATCGAAAGTGGTGGACAGATTCAAATCATGAAGCGAGGGACGAGGAAGAATGGGGGGATTTTCCTATTTGCCTGCCTTTCGGGGGGGAGAAGGGGTTTGCTTCTTCTGAGAGATTGATTCCACCAGGAACACAAGAGACAATGGGAGAATTTAAGGAGATCGAAGAAGTGAAGGAATCATAATGGCGTCGCCCACCCGATTTTCTCTTCCTTCCTTTCTTTTGCCTCCCTCTCCCTCACTTCCTATATTGATCTCTCTTTTCTCAGTCTTCTCTATGCTTCTTGTTTGTGCTGTGGTGGGTTTTCGCAAACCATGAAAGCTCCAAGACTTATTATTATGTAATTTTTTTTTGGTTTTGCTTGGTATATTTTGATTTAATTCGTATGCCGATGTTTTTCGGAAGCTCCGGCCTTTTTCCGTTTTGTTTTTTTTTTAAACTATTTTTTGTCCTTGGATAGCTGAGGCAAAGGGAGAGAACAAAGGGTGCGCTCATGGGGCGTAGGTGCTTAACCTCCACCACTGTCTCTCGGCCCAAAACGATGCGTATTGCCTTACCATCGAGCCAGGTGGCGATCGAGCCCAAGGAAGGAAGTGAGCCAATAATTTAAAGTCAAAACCTTGGCTAATCGAGGCTCGGATTCTCTGCTTGGATTCTCAATGGACGTTTGTTTTAGTTTGGGTTTTAGGTAAGTACTCACTCGACTCGGACCGAAGTGGGGTCAAGTCACCGCCCCTTGTCCTCGTCATTTGAGTGTAAGGGCTATATATGAGACGACATGAGATTAGTTTGACATAATTTGAGTTGACTCATTTATTGAAATTTTGACTCATGTTTGCTCGAGTCCGATTAGTGTTTATTCGAATTCGAATCGAGTTCAGCTCAGAAATATGAACTCACGAGCTATGTTTGACTTTGATTTATCAATCATCAACTCATAAGCTCAGTTCACTCTCAACTCATTTATCATTCTAAACACTTGAATCACTAAACTAAACTCTAGAATCATTTGTAAATCAAATATTCTAATATGTGTATGTCATATGAATATGATGCAAGTGATTAATGTCATGACGAGAAGAAGGATAGTAGTCAAATTTTCATTATTAATTGATATGATGCTTTTACACTCGGTATATATTATTATGTACATCATATAATTAACTAGTTCGTGTACTTTTCACGAGGCGAGGCTACCGGCATGCTACCTCTCTCTAATCCTGGGAGCCACCGAGCCAGAGAGGAGAGCAAATTTCTAGAACCTAAATATACTCTTCCCTTTTAAGAATGTAAATTTGTTGAGTCTTACGATTTATTTACTACTTAAGCTTTAAGAATAATTATTAGAAAAAAAAGCTCTACGAATAATTTACTTGCTGATCCAGAATTCATATTTAACTTTCCTTCTGCCAACCTATTCCAACTCCAAATAATAAAAACCTATGTTGTGGAGCCTTTCTTTTCACAAGCTTCTTGCGAAAAATTCCAGAGAAGAAATGTAGACTCAAAGTTGAAATACTTATGGGAGGATAATCCTAAAATGTTTGATGAGGTTACAAAAAAAAATTATGTTGTTTTTTGGAAGGAACTCGTTAAAATAATGAATATAAATTCCATCATGAAAAATAGTACTCGAGTGTTGGAGAGTTATCTCATGGATGCAAAATGTTTGGGTTGTAAATGGATATTTTGAAAAGTGAAATGAAAGTCAATGAATCAATTGATATAGTCAATCCACGTTTTTTTTTTTTTTTGCCAAAGTTATCCCGAAAGGGAAGCAGCGAAGATACGACAAAATACAAGGCCTCCTAAGACCAGGCTAGGAAAATTAAATAAATAAAACACGATGATCGACAAGTGTCTGCACCATCGCTCCAAGGGCTTGTCTTGCCACGAAATGGGCAGCCCTATTAAACCTACGGGGAACGAAATGGAACGTAGCACGAAGGAAAGAAGCCCGCAACACCTGAATCTCTTGCAGGAGAGCTCCACCCACCGCGTGCGACGAGTCCTTCGCATTAATCATCCGAATGATCACCTGCGCATCCCCACAAAACAAAACATTAGTGAACGAGTGAGCCATGCACCAACGTAAGGAGTCACGAAGAGCCAGGAGCTCTGCGAGAAATGGGTCATCAATGTTAGGAATAAAACGCCCCCAAGCGAATATAGAGGTATTCGCCTCTGTAAAGCCAGCAAAACCAATGGCACATCCGACCAAAGATTTGGTGGCACCATCAAAGTGAACCAACACTGCACCAGGAGGAATGGAGGGAGGGGGTTGATCACGAGGTAAAACCCCACTAGAAGCAGAAGAACCACGAGGCAAAGATCTCACTGGATGCGCCTGTGCTAGCTCCCATTCAGCAACCTGAGAGAAATAATGTCGTGATAAAACATGGGAGAAATACTGAATACCATCATAAGTAGCCGAACATCTGGACTTCCAGAGCCTCCAGTAAAGAAAAACCAACCGCGATATCTCAACTTTGGATAACCCTGCATAAAAAAAATCCTACGCCAACCTATCGCAACATGGCACAAGCGAATTTGAGCAAGAATATGATTGTACCCCAACAAATCCCACAACTCCAAAGCAATTCGACAATCCAAAAAACAATGAGCAAGAGTCTCTGGCGCACCACCACAGACAGGGCAAGCGTAAGCCTCAGTATCATCATCAGCAATCAATTCCTTATCACGAAGCACATCTCGAACAGGGAGAAAACCTTTAACCACGCGCCAAAGAAAAATTTTAAGCTTTGGGGGAACAGGAAGAGACCATAGAAACTTCCAAGAGCGAGAGTCAAAGGACGATGGAATCGTGGAAAAATCAGCAATGTAATCAGCCGCAGCTAACCGATAACCAGATTTCACCGAATAATCGCCTGAAACTTCATAATGCCAAATCAAACGGTCAGCCACAGGAAAAATTGGCAGAGGAATAGACATGATGAGCCGTACAGTGGCAGTATCAAAAAGATAAGAAAGCACGTCCTCCTTCCAAGAACCTTGACCATGATTTATTAGGCAAGAAACAAATGAGTCAGGTAAGACAACCCCAGGAAGCAAAATCGGCCTAGAAGGAGGGGTGGTGGGAAGCCAAACATCATTCGTAATGTGGACCGAAAGTCCACAACCAATTAACCAACGTAGTCCTTGGACCAAAAGATCCCTGCCCAAAAGAACACCCTGCCATGCCCATGAAGGGCGCGAACCTGCAGAAGCACAAAGAAAGGAGGAGTTGGGAAAATACCTGCCTTTGTATGTGGTAGCTAAGAGGCTATCCGGATCCTGGACAATCCTCCAAGCTTGTTTGGCAAGCAAAGCTATGTTATTAGAGTCTAAATCACGAAAACCCAGACCCCCAATTGATTTATGTCGACATAAAGCACGCCAAGAGGTCCATCTCATGCCACCCTCTCTATCCTGTTGACTCCACCAAAAGCGAGCAAGATGCCCATTTAAACGCCTGCAAAAAAGCGAAGGAATTCGAAAACACGACATCGTGTAAATCGGTTGGGCCAAAGCCACTGATTTAATCACTGTTTCCTTTGCCGCTAATGACATATACTTCGATTTCCATCCTTGAATCCGATTAACCAGGCTTTCCTCAACAAAACGAAACGTATCCTGTTTAGATCTCAAGACGCGCATAGGAAGTCCCAGATAACGATCTTGGGGACCACTGATTGCCACGCCAAGCAGAGAGATAATAGCAGAGGCTTCATCTGCAGAAACATTTTTACTAAAGGTAACAGTGGATTTCTGAAGATTGACCTTCTGTCCACTCACCTGCTGGTAAGAATTAAGAATATGTAGGAGATTATGACATTCCAAAGGGGATGCCCGGAGGAACAAATATGAATCGTCCGCAAAGAATAAGTGAGAAATCCTAGGGCAACGACGATGCACCTTCAGACCATGCAGCAAGTCAGAATGAATGGCTTGATTAATAACACTAGAAAAACCTTCCGTATAGAGCGCAAACAGCAAAGGAGAGAGCGGATCACCTTGACGCAATCCTCGCTCAGGATGAAGGTAACCATGAGGAGAGCCATTGATAAGCACAGAGAAAGATACTGATGAAACACACGCCCACAGCCAATCAAGCCACTGGGGACAGAAACCAAGCTTAAACATGATAGCAAACAGAAAATTCCACTCAACACGGTCATAAGCCTTTTCCATGTCTAATTTAGTCAATCCACGTTTGGTAATTCGAGATTTCAGATAAAAACACAAAATCAAATACTTCGATGTATAATAATATCTCTATTGCTCGAATCTTCATTATAGATTGTTAATTACTCTAGCATTAATTCATAGTCTAATTCTACGTCAAATAAATGTGAAGACAACATTCTTGGATATTTGGATGAACAAATTCACGTGAAACAACTAGAAGGTTTTATTACGCTTGGGCAAACGCATAGAGTTTGCAAGTCAATCAAATTTTTGTATGGGTTAACAAGCGTCAAAACAATGATATCAAAAGTTTGATCGTTTTGGTTTAATCTACCAGTTTTCTGTGGAACCAACCCAGCAAAAGTGTATATACAAATTTCAATGATTCTAATAGTGGAGTCATCATATTTTTTATGCAGATTACATGCTTATTTTCGAGACCAACCAAAGATACATCACATAATAGTTTTTATCATCAAAATTATTCATGAAATACATGGGAGGGGAAGGTGTGATTGATTCAGGTCCAATTGTACACATTTTACTCCTCATATCTTGATCGTTTGGTTTTGCATTTCATCGTTCCTTGACATATTTCACGCTAGGTTGTGCTTGTTTTGATACATTTAAGGTCCTAGCACGTGTGGAAGGGTCGAGGTAGAATTTTGAGATAATTGGAGGTCAAAAAGCGCAAAAACCGAAGAAAAGTGTAACACCCGACCTTTGGGTTCAGGTTCGACCAAAATATGTGAACGGTTGGATTGACGGTTACATACGAAGGGTGACAACCGTGGATTAGGAACAACAATAATAATAACTATTATTATTTCATTATTATTATTAGGGCTAATACCACTACAACACCCGAACTATCGCGAAAATGCCACTTGTGTCCTATTGTTTCCAATATTCCATTTGTGTCCTGAACTATGATTCCGTTAGTGTTGACTTTTGTTGACCGTTAGTTTTTAACAGAAAATCTAGTCAGCACTGATGTGGCATCTTACGTGGAATTTTAATTCATTTAATAAAAAAATAAAAAATAAAAAACAATAAAATTAAACAATCTTTTTTTCTTGCCAAATATAAAATTAAACAATCTTACTAAAACAGAATTATAAAACACTAACAATAAAAATAAAAAACTTCATCTCCCCTTCGTTTCACTTCCCCCAAATTCAGCCGCCATCGGCTCCTCGCCTCCATACGCGGCCATGAGCTCTTCTCACTGATCCCCTCGTTTCACTGTGTCAACAATGCCGCACCGAGATCTCCTTCTCGATCTCTTCGTTTCACTCTCTCAACACCGCGCCGCTTCCACCATCAGATTCTTCATAATCTGCGGCGGGATTAGGTTTTAACGAGTATCCAGATTCTTCATCATCCTCAACCTCGGCACCGCTGCCGTCCTTTGCCGCTGAGGGATTCCAATTGCTTGGTCAATTCAAGCGATTCGGGAAGGAATTTTTCTGGTTGAATGCATGAATCGACGATGAAGGGGAAGAGTCCAGAAGATCAACTCCCCTGCTTCCTCCGCCGTGGCCGTGGTCGAA